TCCTTATATTAGCTTTAGGTTTGGATTGTTCTTGTTTTTCTAGGATATGGGGTGCATCATCAGGTTATTTATTTGAGCTCATTCTGTCTTTCTGATGTGGAAATTCACCGGTATGAACTTCCCTCTTAGGACTGCTTTCATTGAATCCCATAGACTGTGGTATGTTGTAGTATCATTATTTGATTGTAGAAACTAATTTCCTCTTTAACTTCATCTGCAACTCATTAGTTATTCAAGAGTGTATTGTTTAATTTCCATGTGTTCACATAGTTTATGTGATTTCTTCTGCCATTGATTTCCAGTTTCATTGCACTATGATCTGATAATATGTGTGGGATCATTTCAATTATTTTCCATTTTTTTAAACACGCTCCATTGGCTAGTATGTAGTCTATTTTGGAGAAAGTCCTATGTACTGCTGAAAGAAATATGTAGTCTGTTGTTGAATAGAACACTCTGTAGATATCTATTAAGTGCATTTGTTCTAAAGTTTGTTTCAACGCTAGTATTTCTTTGTTAACTTTTTGTCTAGGTGATTTTTCCATCTGTAACAGTGGGGTACTGAGATCCCCTGTTACTATTGTATTGGTGTTCACCTGACTTTTCATGTTTATTAGTGTTTGTTTCATGAAGTTGAAACTGGTGCATGCATGTTTACAATTGTTAACTCTTCCTGTTGAATTGTTCCCTCAACTAATACATAGTGACTTTCCTTGTCTCTTCTGATTAGCCCTGGCTTGAAATCCACTTTGTCTGAAATTAGTATAGCTACCCTTCTTTTTTCCCGGTTCTGCTTGCTTTGAATATTGTTTTCCATCCTTTAATTTTTAACATGTGAGTACCCTTCTAAATTAAATGTGTTTCTTGCATACTGCACATTTTTTGGTTTTCTTTCCTGAGCCATTCTACCAATCTGTGTCTTTTGACTAAGGAACTGAAGCCATCCACATTAAGAGTTATTATGAGAGGTACAGATTTATTCCTCTCATTGCCTTACTTTCCTGTTACTGATTTCCTTACTTTTTTCCCTTTTTGCTTAGCACTTGTCCCACCAGGTTATTGTTGGCTTCATTCTCTCTTTCCAGGGTATCCTTGAGAATTTTTTGTAATGCTGATTTTGTGGTCATGAATTTCTTGAGGTGGTCATGAATTTGTTGAGGTGCTCCTTGTTGTGGAAATACCTTATTTCTCCATTAATTGTAAAGTAAAGTTTTGCAGGACACATGAGTCAAGGGTGAAAGCTGTTATTTTTAGGGCTTGAAACACTTCACTCCAATCCCTCCTGGCCTCTAAGGTTTGTGTAGAGAAGTCTGCTGTGATTCTAATGGGTTTACTGTTGCATGTGATTTGTTGCCTTTCTCTATTTGTTTTTAGGAGTATAATGTGGTGTGGAAAGGTTCTCTTTTGTCATGGCTATTTGGTGTTCTATATGCCTCATTTATTTGTGTTTTTATTTCTCTCCCTGTATTTGGGGAGTTTCTGCCATTATTTCTGTGAACATATTTTTGCCACTTGTGTTGTCTTCTGATTTTTCACTTATTTCAGTTATTCTTCAGTTGGTCTTCCTTCCATCTTCTAGCAGTTATTGGATCAGTTTTTCATTATCTCATGCTGTTTTTAAGGTTTCTTTGAGTAGTTGGTCTTTGAAGACATCACTGTCTTCTAGTTCTGAAATTCCATCTTCACATTTGTCCATCCTGCTGCTTTTAGTATGATTTTTGATCTTCTGGATTTCTGACTGAAACCTTTTTATTCACTTTAAGTATTTGTTGAACTGATCATTCATGTTTTGTATCATTTTACTTAGCTCATCTACCTTTCTATTAGCATTTTCTGGGAGCTCTTGCATGTTTTCTGTTATTACTTCCATCATATATTTAGTTATACCTTCTGTAATCCTGCTGAGTATCTCCTTGAGCTCTTTTCTAACCCCTACTCTATGTTTTTGACTAATTCAGGTGTGTGGTGTATATTATTCTGCTCTTTAATTCCCCCTAGATGGTTTAGGGGAAACTGGGGGTTATGGGAGGTATTTGGTTGCCTTTTCTTTTATTGTTTTTGTTCATGTGCTTTGTGCTAAGATTTGTGGATGCTTTTGTCTAAAGACTTTGTTGCTAATAGGGATCTCTTTAGTTGCTTATCAGTGTTGTACTTTGGGGATGGCTAAATACAATCTTTGTTTGTTTTTTTGTTTGTTTGTTTGTTTGTTTGTTTTGGTTTTTCTCTGGTTCCGGGAACCGAACTCACGACCTTGCGCTTGCCAGGCAGGCGCTTTGCCACTGAGGTAAATCCCCGGCCCCTAAATACAATCTTTTACCACAGCCTCAAGATTTAACCACCTTGGTTATTTTGGGAAAGGAAGATACAAAGTAGTTAGTCTAGCAAATAAATTGTCTGGAAATGCACTCTAGTGTTGCTAAAATAACAAAGGCAATCTGAATGTTGGCTTACAGAGATATAGCAGCAATTATGTGACCCTGTTACTATCAAATGAAACAGCTGTGATAATATTGCCTGAGACAAATTAGATATTAACATACCATAATAACCAGTTATGTTTGTGTAGAGAAGTAAAACAGCAATTCATATCAAATGAAACAGTTATGATAGTATTGCCTGAGAGAGATTAGATATTAACATACCATAAGAACCAGTCATGTACCACACTTATTCCTAGAGAAGAAACCACCAATTATGATGTAAATATTAAGCAACCCAGGTATTGACTTACAGCTAATATGTACTAAATATAAGAGCTATATCTCCGTGAATGGCAGGAAAGAATTCAGCAGTAATTTTACAGAGTTAACTATCAAAAGGTTAACAAAGTTTTAATATTATACTACTAAAGATTTGGAGTTGGGAAGTGGAAGGATGCAAAAGGGAAACTTTAAAACATTAAAGTATGATATGAGAAGGAGGACAGAGAAGTGGTATGAGAGATCTTACTGGGGAGTAGAAGAATGTCTATATAATTGGGTAAAGGTAAGGCAAAAACTGGCAAAAAATAGAAGGTAAAAGACAAAGAAGGAGAAAAAAGAAAGAAATTATACAGAAAGTAAAAATAAGAGAAAAATAAGGAGAGGAAATTCAAAAAGGAGGAGAGGAAAAAATAGAAAATGACAAAGAGATTAGAAGCAAGACTGAAGGACAAAAGAAGATTACCCAAACTTTAGCAAACTGGTGAAAAAACAGGAGGAAAGAAAAGAAGAAATTTTAAAAAGGAAGAACACTAATCTAAAAAAAAAACCTCCACACAGTCAGAATAAACAAAAACAATCAAAAAAAGAAAGACAGAAAACAATGGTCTTGGTTACTTTCCCCTCATTGCAAAAAACTGAACACCCAAAATTAAGGAAGCGAAGGTTTATTTAGCTCACAGTTTGTGGAGGGTTTGAGTCCATAATCAGCTGACTCCAAGGCAAGGTGGCATGGCACGGGGGCAACAGTTCTAGGCAGCAGAAGACAACAAAAGCAGCAAGAGCAAAAGGAGGGAGCGAACAAGCCTCTTTTCCTCCCTTATATTGTAAGCAGGCTACCCCTCCCTAGGGCAAGTGTAGCACTCGCACAATCTCCAAGCCCTCCTTTTGCACAGAATGAGGATGTTTACAAAGTGAGGACCCTGGCTTCCTGCTGAGTCACTTAGTTAAACTTCTAAACTTTTCAAGTTGACATAGTGTATCAAGTATTACAGCAAACAGACCATTTTTTAAAAAAGCAAATAAAAAAAGGAAAAGAAGTGGCTCTGTAATTTCAAGCCTGTAGTTATCTTCTAGGGCCTACACTTCTGTGTCAGTGCCAGTTCAATAGATGACTCTGCTCTTGCTGGTAGACTAAAAAGGCAGTCAAAGCCCAGATCTGTGCTGGGTAATCAACAGCAAACCAGCAGTAGGATTTGGGTGGAGTATCAGTTCTGGGATTTTCAAATTCATGAAAATTCAGGCTCAACCTAGCCTCTGGTGGTGGGGGTGGGGCATAAGTCATTTAGCGTATAACAGTCTGGGTGTCTCTTGTCAGCCTGACCAAGGCTCCGACCATGGATGTCTCCTGTGGTTGTCCCTCACGCAGTCACTGTGGGAATTGAACACTGGGAGTCCCAAGATCAAGCCAACTTTTGGCTTCACTGAGCCCCAGGTTCAGGGGATCTCTGTCTAGAATGGTGTCCAACCAAGCACTCCCTTCAGGGGACATGGTGGGTTCTTGAACTGTAGTCACTCATCAGCTGTTGTAGCACACAGCATCCACTACTCCATTTCATTGGTGCATTTCTCCCTGAAGCCCTCTGGAGTTCCCTGCTTTCATGGTATCTCTGTAGATTTGATCTTCCTTTCTCACAGCCGTAAGCCAGGAGCCAGGGAGAAAGTGCAGATTGTCTTTTCCTCTTTCTACATTATGGTCTACCACTTCAATCTCTCTGTAGGCTCCAATCTTCCCACCAGATCTTCCCTGGGTCTCTTTTCTTCCCCAAGTTGTTTTCCAGGGCTGGAGTCGAAATCTGGGAGAGGCTGATTTGTTGCTGCTCAGTGCCGTGCCATCTTCCAGGAAGGAGTGACTTTTTTTTAAAGAACAATTTTATCTCACTATTCCTTTTTTTTTTTTTTTTAAATGTGAATCAAACTCAGGACTTTGCACTTGCCAGGCAGGTACTGTGCCACTGAGCTATATCCCCGGCCCTAAGAATGGTTTTAGACTTACAGAAAACTTGCAAAGATATTGCAAAGAATTTCTATATATCCCATATCCAACTTCCCGTATGATTAATATCTTGTATTAGTGGAGCATATTTGTTATAATAAACCAGTATGGATTCATTATATTAACTAAAATAATGGATTAGTCAGATATCCTGAGTTTTTCCTGTCTTTTTCTGTTCTGAAATCCATCCAGGATATTGCATTGCCTATAGCTGTCATGTCTTCTTAGAGTCCTCTTGACTGTGACAGATTTTTAGACCTACTTTGTTTTTGTTGGCAGTTCTGAGGAATATTTAATAAATCATCCTTCAGTTGGGATCCTATTTCTTCGTGAGTAAGCTGCACTTGTGGATTTAGCAGAGAAAGACCACAAGGTAAAGAACTGTTTTTATCCCACCCTACCAAGGGCACATACCATCACCCTGACTTATGGTTGTTAATGTTGTCTTTGAATCCCAGGCTGGGTGGAGTGGGTCAGCTTCCTCCCACCCCTCTCACCAAGGTGAACTCTGCAAGGTCCCTTGTGTGGACCACGTTTTGGGAGCAAGAGGCGTGTACTCCCTGCATGAAGACAGACTCTCTACATAAATTTCATGCAATTCTTCTGCAAGGGAGAGTCACCTCTTCTCTCCTACTTCCTTATATATTTATTCATTCATTTACTTGTGTCACTACCAATGTGTGGATATTTATTTTATACTTTCTGTTATAATCCAATACTATTTTGCTACTTTTCTCAAATCATTCTAGTTTTGGCCATTAGGAGCACAGTTTTTGGCTTCTGTATCCCTTCAACCCATCCTATCAGTAGAGGATTTTATTTTTACCTTTGTTTGTTTGGTTGGTCAGTTGATTGGTTTATTGATCTAATTTTCTAAAATTTTCTTAGAATTTCCTTACCTATTGGCACTACAAGATATTCCATTCTTGTCTTGCATGTTTCCTATTGCTATGGTTTTGAATGTGTTTCCTAAGGGGTATATGTTTGAGACTTAACCCTGGATCCCCTAGTGTTAAGAAATAGGACCTTTAAGAGAGGACTCAACCGTGACGTGCATGAATTGATGCCGTATCATGGGAACAGGTTTAATCGCACAGGAATGAGTTCATCGTCACAGAAATGGATCCCTTATAAAAGGACAAGCTCTGCCCCTTCCCTCTTTCCCTTGCCTTTTTGCCTTCTCACAAGGAATGATGAGGCAAGAAAGCTTTCACCAGATCCCAGCCCTCAGTCTCGGTCCTCACAGCCTTCAGAATAATAAGCTAATAAACTATTTATATTATACATTGCCCAGTGTGGAGTATTCCATTAGACTACATAAAGTGGTAGTGCCAAAATGGCAGAAAATTGGTAGTGGAGTGTGGGGTGTGGCTTTGGAGTTGGATGATAGCCATGAGCTGGAAGAGTCTGGAAATACAGGCTAACAAAGGCCCAAATTTCCATGAGCAGGATGTTGAAAGTGATTCTGGTGAGGGCTCAAGAGAGAGAAGCTATAATTTAAATTAAGGGATTGCTTAAATGGCTGTGATCAGAATCCTGATGGAAATACAGACCCAGAGGCGATTATGATGGGGCCTGAAACGGAAATGAGGACAAAAGTATTGGGAACAGGAGGAGAAGGCATCTTTTTTAAAAAAGTGGCCAAAAACCTTGTCTGAATTCTATACATGCCCAAGAGCTTTACACAAGGCTGAATTTATGAACTATGATCAAGGATATTAAGCAGAAGAAATTCTTAAGAAAAAAAAAAATCAAAGGAACCACATGGCTTCTTATAACTAAAATACAGCTGAGTGAGAAGAGAGGGATTTCTTGAAAGGCGGGGTTTCTGAGTGAAAGGGAGCGGATTGAGAATGTTTGGAGAACCCCAGCATGCCCACGTCAAGAATAAACAACACTGCTCAGGAAAGCACCCAGAAGTGTGGCCAAGTGACCATTTCCTGGAGATGAGTAAGGACAGAAGGCAGCTGGGGGCATTTCACTGAGACAGTGGGAGAATGACCTCACAGGCATTTTGGGGACCTGTGAGGCAGGCTGGAACTTGAGGGCAGGTTTGTGGAGGGGTCACTGCCCAGCATTAGCTCAGTGTGAAAAAGCAGGACCTTTAAGAGGTGTGTGAACTGAAGGCTCTGCTCTCGTGAGTGCATGCCTTATCGTGGGACTGAGTTCTGTATCCAAGGACAAATCCAACCTATTTCTCTCCCTACCTCTTTCCTCTCCTCTTTGCCCTTCTGCTTTCCACCATGGGTGACAGCAAGAAGCCCTATGCCAGGTACTGTGCCCTTAACCATGAGCTTCCCAGCCTCCAGAATTATGGTTCAACAAACCTAGTGTCCAGCATTCATTATAGCCCCACAAAAATGGACTAAGATACCAACCTATTCTAGGACACACCCAGTTCTACAATCTACATTTTCTTCAAAGAGTCTTGCTTCTTTTTGTTAGAGAATGGTATTACAAACTACAATCTAGTATGCTCACAAAAGCACAGACAACAAAGGCAAAAGTAGACAAATAGGGTAACAGCAAATTAAAAGGCTTCTACATGGCAAGGGAAGCAACCAACAGAATAAAGAGACAGCCTACGGCAGTGATGGCACACCCTTCAGAGATAAGTCCCCAAACTGTGACACAAAACCTAGCTATTTATTGCAAAGAGCCAGCACCATGATGAAACCTGAATACTGAGGTTTTAGTTTAGAAAAAACAACTCATACATTAACATCCTGTGTCTTACAAGACAAGACAGTGAATGTAATAATTATGTACTAATAAGTCAAAAATAAAATTTAAATTAAAATAAAAGAAGAGATACAAATGGCTAATACATTTGTGAGAAATGCTCAAAATCAGAAGTCATCAGGGATTGCAAGTTAAAACCACAGTGGACATCAGCTCGTACCTATTAAAATGCCTCTTATCAAAAAGAAGTCTAACAAATGAGGGGGAGGACATGGAGAAAAGGGAGTCCTCACACACTGTGGGTGGAAATGTAAATTAGTACAGCATTACGGCAAACAGCATGGAGGATGAAGGCTCCTCAAACTTGCAAACAGAAGTATGATATGGTCTAGCAATACTACTATTGGATATTGTTATGATTTGAGTCTAGATGTCCCCCGAAAGCCCCATGCAGTCATGGGGCAGGCTTCTAGAGTTTTTCATTGACTCATGGTCCAGTGGGATCATGGGTATGAGTGCTACACTCACAGTCCAATGTGATTATGGGAGTGAGTGCTGGGATTATGAGTGTGAGTGCTACACCCACTCTGGGGCAGGAAGCCTGCATACAGTTGAAGAGAGGAAAAGAGGCTTGCTTGCTGCCACTCCTCCCTTTTTGCTCTTGTGGCTTTTGCTGTTTTCTGCCACCATGAACTGTTCCCCTGTGCCATGTATCACTCTGCCTTGGAGCCAGGGGAGTATGGACTGAAACCTCCACAGACTGTAAGCTAACTAAACCTTTTCTCCCTTTAATTCTGGGTGTCAGGTATTTTGTCTCAGCAACAAGAGAAAAGGAACCAAGCCAAATATAGATCTATCTTATTTATTTTCTCATCATTGACACGTAATACCCAAGCCCACAATTTAAAGTAGGAGATTTTTACTTCTTCTCACCTTTCTAGACATGATCAGCTGGCTTCCAAGTAGGACAGCATGGCAGAGGGGTCTGGCAAAGGAGACCTGCTCCCATCATGGTGAACAGGAAGTGGAGAGAATCGAGGGAAGGAGCAGAGAGGGAAGAACCGGTGAGGGAGATTAAACCCTCCAAAGCCACACCCGGTGACTTCTTCTCCCAACCACACCCTACTTCCTAACACCAAGTCAGCCCTAAACTCCATAGTCCAATCAGCCATGAGCATACTAGGCTCTCAGGGACCATCTAGTTGTAAAGCATGATGGTATACAAAGAACTGAGATTGTTGCAGAAAACCAATATCAAACCAAATGGAAGACTCTGTGTTGAGGAGCTGGAAGGCAACTTTTATTACACTATCAAGCTGGGGAACCCAGAGGTTCAAATCACCAGCCCAGAGTCAAGTGTGAGTTCAGTTTAAATATAGTTTGCAAGTGGGAAGCACAAAGCTGATAGCAGGTTATTATATGACTGGTTACATGGAATACAAGAATTACGTCATATATTGTCAGACAGGTTTGTACAGGAGCATTCTGGGAGGGAGGGGATCTGAGAAGAGTAGGGAGAGTTGAAAGTGTCTTTGGCTGGGCCAGTCTTCCCCAAACATGATGTCCTTGAAGTCCTTGAAGCAAGTTGGAATCACAGCATATTTTTAAAACACAAGCTGGACACAGTCAGTTTGACCCCACACTTTGTTAAGGAGGGACATCTGGGCCTAGACAGTCAAGGTTAAAGGAATGCAGTAAGCTAGTTATGTGACAAGCAGCAGGAGCCTGTGGTCACAGACCTCTAATTGATTTCTAACCTAAGCTATAATATGCCTACAAGTTTACTATTCTGTGATTTTGCTCTTACAAGATCATTATGTCCAGGGATATCTGCAACTGCCTGCTCATCCATCGTTATTCACAACAGCACATATGGAACCAACCTCAATGTTTACCAATGGGTACACAGAAAAAGAAGTCATGGTGGTGTATATATGGAATATGGAATAGTATGCTGAGTTTAAGAAGGAAATTCTGTCACTATGACAGCTTGGATGTTGCTGGAGAACATTGTGTTAAGTGGAATAAGCCCAGTGCAGATGTTGCAGAATCTGTACTGAACCAGATGGAAAATGCTCTGCACCCAGGAGTTGGAAGGCAACCAGTCCTCACCAGTACTGGCTTAGAGTAAAATAGTAGCTTATATGCATTTTGTAAGCAGGCAGTACAGAGTCAATAACAGGTTAGTCTATAATTGGTTACATATATTTGGTCAGACACTGTCAGGTAGATGTTTCTAAGATGGGTTTAATTAGAAAAGAATACTCATCATGGGGCAGAAAGGTCTGGGGGAAGTCAGGGTCCAGGCAAGTGGGTAAGATTTAGTGTACATTGACAGGGCTAGTCTGTCCCCGGTAGATAGTCCTTGAAATGGGATAGCAAAACAAGATATGCATGCAGGCCATTGTGCAGCTGGTCAAATACAGCTGAGTCAGATTATCTCTGAGTTGCAGCTGGGTAGTTACTCAAGGCTGGCTGAGTCTGACGGCTCAACTATGAAGTTACTATTTTAAAATTTTCCACTACACCAAAAGACAGGTGCTGTATGACATCACCCATATGGGGAATCTAGAAAAGCGAAACTTGGAAACAGCGGGTAGAAGGGTGGCTACCAGGGCTGAGGTAGTGACAGGCTCAGGTGGAAATATTGGTCAAAAAACACAAAATTTAAATTACACAGGAGTAATAAACTCAAGAGATCTATTATAAAATATGAAGACTATACTATTTTGTGTATTTAAAAATGCTGAGTATATGTTAAGTGTTCTCATCACAAATAAATATGGAAGGAAAAGGAAGGGGAGGAAGGGAAGAGGAGAGAAGGGAATGGAAGAGAGAAAAGGAGCTGTCTTAGTTACGTTTCTGTCACTGCTGAGACAAAATACCTGACACCCAAGATTAAGGAAGGAAAGGTTTATTTAGCTCACAGTTTGTGAAGGTTTCAGTCTATACTCCCCTGGCTCCAAGGCAGCGTGCCACATGCAGATAGCAACAGTTCAGATAGCAGAAAACAGCAAAAGCAACAAAAGCAAAAAGGGAGGAGGGGCAGAGAGAAGCCTCTTTCCCTCCTTTACACTGTATGCAGGCTTCCTGCTCCAGGGCGGGTGTGGCACTCACACCCATAATCCCAACAATGGACCATGGATCAATCATAACCTCTAGAAGCCGCCCCATGCCTGCATGAGGCTTTGAGGAGACATCCAGACACAAACCATAACAGGAGCAGAGTGGGGAAAGGGAAGGGGGTGGAAGGGAAGTGGGGGAGGGGAACAGAGGGGAGGGAGAGGAAGGAAGGCCTGGACGCTGGCTGCTTTCATTGTTGCAGGCTGGCTTGGCTCTTTTTAGCATCAGTTATAGCATTTTTTAACATCTGCAGCTGTCTGAAACTATATTGGACACCAAGCCATGGTACTCCTGATTTGCCTCATGGTGCTCAAATGTTACAGGGATTTGGTTCTTAGAAGGTGGTTGAGCTGCTCTATGACAAGGTGATGAGTAGTCTTGAAAACTGAAGCTTGAAGCCGGAAGGGAAGCCGAAGGGCCGAAGGTGTCATTGGGGCAGAGTCAGGAGAGGAGCCTCGCCCAACCCAGAGGAGAAAGGGAACCAAGCAAGCTCTGCAGATGCTCCGGAACATGCAGGAGCAGCAAGTGCAGAGGCCCTGCGGTGTGGAGTGCCTGACACACCCGGCAAGAGAGGAGGCCAATAAGCCTGGTTCTCTGAAGGCAAGCAGAATGTAAGGAAAGACGAGGTCAGGGTTGCAGGGTGGGAAGGAGGTGCACGTCACACAAAGGAAGAGGCGCCGCGGGGCTTTGGCTTTTCTCTGAGAAATACACAGGGTGGGGATTTGGATCTCCTCTTCTTGGCTTGTTCTAAATGGTAACTGCCATTCCAAAAGAAATCGCTGTCCATGGAAATGTCTCAACTGAACCTGCACCAGGGATCTTGAAACCACATTTGACTCTAAACCAAAGAACACAAGAAGAGGTTTTGCATTTTTCCAACATGGCAGAAGGGAAAGAAGGCAACTCTCCTGAGGGGCCACCTGGGGGGTGCTTCCGAGAGCTCCCTGGTTCAGAATAGGGAGCCCCCTGGGGAATTCCAGGGTGCTGTCTGTAAAGATCTGAGGGAGAGCCCTCAGAGCACCCACAACACTCCCAAGCTCCACCAGGCTGCTGGGAGAGAGACTTCCTTACCAGCCTTATCATCAGTTTGTTTGGTAAACTGATCTTTGATTAAAAGTGGGTTTAACGGGCGAAGGGGAAAATCCACTGGGAGTGCTAAGCAGCTTTCCAAACACCAGCGCAGCTGCCAGCCCACCTTTAACCTGCTTCTGCTCAGATTCCTTCGCTTTTGCTCTCCCAGCTTCCATTCTTTTGCTGTTGCAAGATCCCACCTGTCTGGGGTTAGACATTTCCAGTCCTACCTAATCAGCAATGGACAAGAGTTATAAAGAGTCAGGGTCCTTGTCTCACAAAGCCTTCCGGAAGTCCTAAAATTGGAATATGTGTCTCTGTCTCTCTCAGGATTCACCAGGGGAGCGCTGGGTTGCTACAGAAGACAGAGGGGCTCATTTCTACTTTTAAGAACTCTGTGCCCTGGATGGCTTCCGCAGCCTCAAACCTCATCATCTCAGAACAGGAAGAAAGGGGAAACGGCTACTTCGAAGTGCACTGTACCATTGCCTTTCCTCGGTTTTCTTCTAGGGTGAGGTCTGTGGGTACAGACACCGTCTGGTGCACTTCTGCAACTCCTTTGAAATTTGCCGACGACCTGTGCTGCTGCAGTAGGTGCTGGCGGGACCAAGCTAGGAGCAACCCTGCATTGGTGGTAAGGAGACACATAGCCGGGCACCTGTCTTGTGTCCTTGCCAGGGCCCCGCGCACCTTCATCCATGGATCGCTGACATTCACGGAAGGCTTCTGCAGCTGGGTAAGAAGTGTGGGGTCAATAAATGTCGCTGAGTGACAGGGAGTGCAAACCCCAGAGAAACAGAAACCTTCAGGTCTCACGGTCCCACTTGTGTATCCTCAAACTGCAGCCCTTCGTTGGACACAAAAGGAACCAAACACTCTGCTTGCGGTGCTGTCAGGGATACACGGACTTTACCAGGGGTCATGTTGGGCTGTGTTTCTGCCCCATCACATGCTTTTCAAATTCTCCATTAAATGGGAAATTGATCATGCTTCTTATAAATGGAACAAAACTGACAGGACGGATGGGCAGACTCTGACAGAATGGCTGCCCTGCTGCAGTGTGACTCTCCTGTGCAGGGCCTTCTTATAAGCTGCAGGATGGTCCAGAAGCTGGAGGGCACAGAGCCTGGCCTGGGGTACCTGTGAGCAGGCGCTCCATGCAAGCCCTGCTCCTGTGGGCCTGCTCTCTCCATGCTGAGAACTGACCTGAAAGCTCGAGCCCTTAGAGCACAGACTGAGAGACGGTTGAGGAAACAGCCATGCGTCTCAGGAAGGCATCTTGCTCCTGTGGGGGTCCCTCCATAACGACAGCACACCATGGCCCAATCCTCTCCCAAAAGCCCTGCCTCTGAGCTCATGAGGCTTAGGGGGGCATCCAGATACAAACCACACAGGAGAACCACGGAAATTCTAGTGCTTGTGTGAGCAGCCACACGAAAGGAAGCAGCAGCCAGGCACGGGGGCTGGGACCTGTGCCTTCTCCACGTTCTCTTCCTCCGAGCTGGTTTTGCAAAAGAAGCAGAGCAAGGCTGATGACCCGGGCCTGAGCCTGGCCCTTCTGCCTCAGTCTTGCTGACTGCCATAGTTTGGACCTGGAATGTCCTCTTAAGGCCCTGTGTTAAAGGCTTGGTCTCCCAAGTGGAAGCCCTAGGTGGCTCCTTGGGGAAGGAAGTAAGATCATGCAGCATACCCTTCAAGGGGCTACGGAACCCTGGCCCCTTCCTCTGTCTTTGCATCTCAGCTTCCATGAAAGGCTCAGAACTCCTCTGCCCTGCCACCACAATGCACTGTGCCTGTGACGTGACAGACCCAAAGCTGTGGGATCAAGTGACCGTGGACTGGACTCTCTGGAACCATGAACTCGAACCTCTCTTCCTTCTACGCTGTTTACCACAGCTGTTCTGTTACAGCAGTGAAAAGCTGGCTCACACTGACAACTGGAAGGAACAGGGGAGAGATGGACCAGGACAGAGAGCTGGAGGAGGGGTGTAAGACGGGTTCATCTAGACCAGCAGATCATGTATTGTTGCCATCAGAGACTTGAAACATCCCAAAGCCTGTGGTCACCTCCATGACCAATTAAATCAGCTCTTCTGGGGTAGACTGAGGCACGAATATTTTCTAAAGCTCTCCGGGTACCTCCTGAGAACCAAGGGCCCAGCCAGAAGCCCGTGGGAAGGGCAGACACAGCAGAAAAAACCACTGTGTAGATGCATCTGCAACCTCTGGACGCCAACTCTCTAGCACCTCTGAGCCAGCACAGACACAAACTGGGGACACAGAATCTTCCTGCTGCAAAGGCAGCCTGGAGGATGGGATGCTCCGGGCAATGCCCAGGTCAGTAAGCATAATCAAGAGGCTGCAGACGCCTCTGCCCGGGCCATCCAGCTTCAAGATAGAAGCTTTACTAAGAAGTGACTAGAGTTGGTCTCCACGCTATTGATAAGCACAAAAGCAACCACAGCCCAACCACCTGTGTGTGCCTCAGATGCCAACATTTGGAGAGGGCCAGGTTTAACTGTTTCTAAGGGGAACAGGAAATATTTATTTAGGGTTAGTGGCAACTGCTCCAGGGTACAGCTGGGGACAAGGGAAGATATAATTAAGAAAACTGTGCAAGGGAGGTCTGCAAAGCCACCCGCAGGTAGGGGAGCCTCTCGGCAGTCGTTTGCCTGGGCTATTTTGTGCGGGCAGCTGAGTGTTAATAGGCACTTAGGAATAGAAAAAGATAAATAAGCAGTCTAATTAGTGGCTGACTGAGGGCTGCAAGATCAAATACAGGCAGAATCCCATTATAGCCCATACCGCAGGTCCTCAGAGCAGTTGTGCTGAGCGATTGCATCATAATGATTACCTGCTGGAAGTTATCACCCACCCATATCTCCCTGGCTTTTCTCAGTGTTCCCTAACCCCTGCCTGCCTCCCCTTTTAGAAGGGAATGTTCCCTTCCCTGAGCAGCTCTGGGGAAGGGAGTAGCAGTTAAATTTATGATTATCATTGAAAATGTGCTACAACTATCAAAATTAGAAGAAACAAGCCACGCAGATCATGAATAGAATTTATGGTTCTATCTGTTTTCTAGTTGTATAAAATGTGAATTGTTTCACCAAGATAAAAAATACCAAGAACTCTGCAGCCCCATTCCATGCTGTTGGTAGGGTATTTACTTCATTCTGTTTGGAGTCATACTAGCTGTCCTGATTGCTCAACCAGATGGTAAGTAATCAAAAGAGCAGAGAATTATTCTATCCTTCATGGGATTGTGTTCCAGCAGGTAAAGAGCGGTCATGAATTTGAATTATGGTAGCCCATATTTTGTCTTTCTGCCAGCATTTGTCTCCCCAACTATTGCTTTTTTTCTTGGTTTTCTGAGGTAGGGTCTCACTATGTAGCCCAGGCTGGCTTCAAATTCACGGTGATCCTCCCACCTTAGCCTCCCACGTGCTGGGATTACAGGTGTGGAACCACGATGCCCAGTTTCCCCTGTTTCAACAACACTAAAATCAGAATGGCTCTTAGATATGTTCTCTGGGAAAAGTTAGTTATAAGGTGCAGGTATCCTCCCTGCCAGAGGTACTGGGATTTTAAAAGACCTCCAAAAGAAAAAAAAAAAAAGGTTCAGAGCAGTCACATGATTCACAGTCACATGATTTGTCTTGTGACACACAGCAGGCTAAGGTCAATGGGCCAGTAACTAGAACTCAGAGCCTATGATTTTCAAACTCTCCTAGCTGTCCTCTACCCAGCCTTCTCAGCTACCTAATAGCCCTCTGAGAAATTGTTTACTGAGTTCTCTTTTGCATAAGAAATCATCACTTGTGTATTGAACTGTATAATTCCAAAACTGAAATGCAATTATTAGTGACTCCACCTCTATCCTTCCTCCGTAACAATAAGAGCTACCACGTGTACTAGAATCCTTCTCCCTCCAAAATAAGCCACCGGCCACAGGAAAGCAATGCAAACCCAATGAAATTTACAAGGCTACTCCTTAGTGGCCACAGCCCCACTCAAATGCCCAAGGGCCACACGAGACATGAAATTTAATCCCAGAGGATATGTTATTCAATAAAGGCTCTTGATCAGTTACTAGAAAACCTTAAGCATTAAATAGCAAATGTTTGGAAAACTATGTCTAGAAAACTGTTAGTTCTTGACAATGTCAAACAGTCCATTAGACCAAATATGTTACTTCCTAAAGCAATTGACATAATTTTTGGTATAAGCAGCTTCTCATTCCAAAAAAAAAGTTACTCTCTGAAGCTGATATTTTTTGGTTTCTCCGGTGAGGCGGATACAAAGGATGGCTGAAAACCTTATTCTGTGCTGTCCTCAGTCTTCCCAACGACTGCTGGAGAGAAGTATTGTGCACATTTCACAGGGAAAGAAAATGAGCTGCAGAGAGATTATATTTCTGTCCCATTTTAGGACTGACCAACTCTCCTGGTTTGCAAAATTGCAAGATTTTCGATCCTAAACCTAGGAACATCGTAGGCAAACTGAGAAAACTGGTCACCCTGTCAAGTCACAAAACTAATTATCAGAACAACGACAAAATCCAGCTGATGTCGTTCTAGCCCCAAGTCTAAGTATGGTTACACCTAGAAAAGCATCCAGACGTGGTTATATAATAAGTTCACCTCCTTACGTCCCTCATCATTTTCCCCTTACTTCTTCCCTTCCTGTTTCTAGCTATCATTGGATTGTAGATCCAATTTGAAGATTTAGCATCTATGTGATCAGATTCTCTGTTTTCATTCACTTCCAGATTTCTTCCTCCATAAATTAAGCTTTGTGCTGACATTCTTGTTATTGAACCACTCTCATGGGGTTTCAGGAGTTTGTTTACTGGCTTGGCAGGAGAGTTTGTTTACTGGTTTGGCACCTTACCCGACACACCCCAGCACTTCTGACTCATTCCCTCATGTGATTTGGCTTTTTCTTACAAAGATTCAGGTGAGTGTACTTTCTGGTTCACTTCTCCTCAGTGTGCTTTTCTGCTCCGTGTGCAGGACAGAGAGATGCAGGCGCTCCCAGAGCTGCTTAAAATACAAGCACATCAGCACCCGCTGAGACCCGGATGAGGAGCTAATCCACAATCCCCGCTCCCCACCTGGAGACTCAGGAACTGGAAGCGTGCAGACCAGCCAGCTACGGTTAACAAGCCCTGGGGGGGCCCTGTGTGCGCGGAAAGGATGGAGGGGCACTGGGCTGGGGCTCCCAGACACTGCTGAACATTAGCCTGCTGGTAGTGGGCGAGGGTGCAGCTCAGTGGTAGAGTGTGTGCTGAGCATGAGAACAGGCCTGACATCAAAACTAATTAATTAAAAGCCCAAAGAATCACCCAGGGTATTTGTAAAAATTCTAGTCACCCACACTAATGCAGAACAATGATATCGGGCTTTCTAGATTAGAAACCCGGAGACTGGCATTTTCAACAGCTTCTTAAATGATTCCACTGTGCAGCCCAAGCTGAGAATGGGCGCGTGGAAGGAAGCGCGGTCAGTATTTTTCACGGTAATTCCCTGCCTCTGCAAAATAACGCAAAGCTACTTGGAGTGATTTCTAACAAACTTTCCAAATACATCATCGTTTGGAATGATAACAAACAAGAAAAATGACAATTTATCAGTTTTTAAAATTTTTTTAAGTGAGTTAATAAAAGTCTCCCAGGGGTGATAAACACCCCAACACAAATTCTGTGCCCATCACAATCTCAGTCCTTTGAACAAAGGAATAAATCGATACCACCACAAGCAAGGTGATAATTTCTTCCTAAGATCAAACTGGATGACAGGCACCAGCTGGCAACCAAAGGAGTGACATTCTGCTATCTGTTTTCTATTACTGTAATTATGGAAAGTGATGATAATCTATTTGCTATTAACGTTTCTACAAGTCTGTGGCCAAATACTGAAGCTGACTTGATGGTGTGGTGATTTTACCCACAGCCAAATGAGCAGAGATAAAGAAAAAGTGTTGAAATGGGGCATTTCTGTGGCCCTGGGAGCTCAGCTCTCCTTTCTGGCTGTGGTAAGTGATGGCGTAACTGCGACAGCCTGTGGCTATGTTTCCACCCAACCAGTTTGACAGGATTTGACTGAATTAATAGCTGGCTGATTCATTCGGCCCATCAATTTGTTCAAAGTTAAATTTGATGAAAACAAATTTAATCAAACCCATTCTCCCAGTGGACCAGTTTTTTGTTTGTTTTTTAACTTGAAGGACAACGTCCTTATCATAACTTGAGAAATGATACAACAGTGACAAAAGTCACATCCTCTGCCTGACCAGGCATGCACATTGGTGACACTGTGGCTTCTCCTTGGTGCTTCTCCATCAGCAATCTGTATGCATCTGGCAAACAGTTGGAAGCGTGAGATTGGTCGCTTCATTAAAGACAAGAAGCCATGGAAACTGTGTCAACTCCTGGCTGCTTTAGCAAATGATCCTTCTAACCCAAAAAGAGAAAGTTCTTGAATGACAAAGTGACCCACCCAGCAAAAATAGATCAAAAGTGCTGTTAGTCAGCTTTCTGTCCCTGTGACAAAATAGCTGAAATAATCAGGGAGGAAAGATACTTACGGCTGCTGGTTTCAGAGGTCCTAGTCCATGGGCTATTGGCCCTGTTGCTTTGGGGGCCTCACCACCTAATGATCCCACCACCCACAAAAGTCGCCACGGGCTGGGGACCTAGACTCTAACACACAGTCTCTGAGGGACATTTCAGGTCCATATTTTATTGCCAGCCATGAAAAGAGGGACAGCCTGGGTGTTCATGATAAAAGGGAGAGAAAAGCAATGAAAGCTGAGAAGTGGCAGTGAAAGAGATAGCACACTGTACTCTCCGGATTGAAAGACCAGACGCTCCAGAGTAGCTGGGAGAATTCCACATCCTGAGACTTCACACTTCATAGGTAGACAGTTCATATCTGGGGGTGCTCTGAGACCTAGGGTATCTCTGCCTCCTCATAGCTAAAAACGCTATCCTGTTTTAGAGTTGTGTGCACCAATCCTTTTTGAGACTCCTCATACTGTATGTAGTGTCTTTGAAACCACAGGACTCATGCTTATGCTAGGATATAAGAGAAGGTTAAAGACAGAATATTTTCAAATATGAATTTGAAATTCATATTCGGCAGGGTTTCCCAGGCATGCCTAGGCCTCAGCCACCCACACAGCTAGGCTCAAAACCACCCCTTCGACCTGACCCTGACCTGAGCTCACCCCCGCCGAGGAAGGTGTCTGCTTTAGCAGTCCAGCCCTCCCTCAGGAACAATCACGGGGCATCTGGTGGCCGCGCGTCAGCAGTGAGTGTTTAGTGTGAATAAGGCCTGGGAGGACTTGTGCCCCCGACCGCACTGCTCATCTTCCCCTCACGGGGCACAGCTGGCAGGCAGCCAGTGCAGGGGCCTCTAAACAGTGGGGTATGGCAGGCACCCCACTGCCGGGGCCCCGGGTGTTTGGAGCATTCTTCCTCCAGCAAACCTTCACCAGGCCTGAGAGCCCTTTGGAGATCAGATGCTCGTTACATTGGAGGTTGCTCCAGGATTTAGGAAGGGCCACAGACCAAAAACAGAGAAAGAAAAAATCCCCAAGAGCCAGGAAGTAACATAAATGAGCGAAGGAAGCTGATGCAGGTCCAAAGAAAGTTGTGGGGAATGTGGTGAGCTGGAAAGTGCAAGTCCCTTCCAAAGGAAACAGCCTTCGGCTGGGAGCTGAGCTCAGGGCTGCTGGATCTTTCAACTAAAAACCGAAAAAGAAAAAGGCCAGAAAGCTGAAATGTTGTCTAATTTCCTCATCCTTAAATATTACCAACTAATCATTCAAATTTTGTTTTAAGCACTCTTTCTGAGGCCAACAAGCTACACTGGCTAGTGGGTTCAAGCTTAGTCCAGCTCTGAAAGAAAAGCCCTTCTTTACTTAGGTCGTGTTGAAACCCACTTTCGGGAGAATCCTTACATCTGGAAGGACCAAGCTGCTATCCTTCTTCTACATACCCCAGATGGCAGTGAGATGGTATTTCCCCAAATCTCTCCCCTGTGGGAAGCCCAGTTACCAGAACTCTCCATTGCTGCTTCTGTGAGGGCTTCCCTAGTCCCACGCTGTCCCAGCCTGGCACCACTGGGAGCCCTTGCGGGTCTGTTTTACAAGTGGACAACACAGCAAGCAAAACGCTGCAGAGGGGAACACCTCTCACTAGGAACTGTGTTTCTTAGGTTTTTGCCTGCTGAGGTCCAGAAGAGGGAACGAAGGCTCAACTCCGAGCTCGTGGCACAAGCCTGGCAATTCCGCTAGGTGCAGGGGCCGACATCCTGCTCAGTCAGCATGAGTGTGAAATGAGGTGTGCGTTTAACCTGCTGTCAAGGGTAGATGGAGCACGACAGCCGGGACACAGCAGAGGCGAGACATCACAGATCATCCCGAAGTGCCTGGGGCTGATTAGCTGGGGAGGGCAGTGACATGTAGTTTTTAGCTGATTGATTTGAATTTCCAGTCAGAAAGTGACTGTCGGCTCCCGCTTATCTGCAGTTGTCAGTAATCAGAAGCAGACCTGTCCCGGTCCCCAGACTGGCTCCTCGGGTGTGCCTGACTTTTCTACAGTTCAGGCCCTCTGTAACTGCTGCCTGACAGCTTCCGCTGCCATAACAAGATACCTGGTGGCCACGGGGGACCCAGGCCCCTGGGGGTGGCTATGAAAGAGAACAGGAATCTGCTGGCTCCGGAGCCTCACAGCCACCGCCTGACTATCTGGAGCTCAGGACAGCTTAAATTAACAGGAGAGCCCTGGTTCACAGTTTAGCAAGACTATTACAGGCCAAACCAAGTAAAAGATTAAAATAAGAATTCCTGTAACTCTAGCCAAAACCTCTTTTTCAACCTAAAAAAAAAATGATCTTGACACTAATTAGAGGCTGGAACTGTTTCTAGGAGTCAGAATGTCCCTCTCCTGGTCAGGCATGGCCAAGTGCCCCGCAGGACACCCAAGGCAGGAACCTGGAAGCCTCTCAGGAGCCCTCCTCCCCACACCTGCACCTCCTCCAGTCTGTGCCGCACGCTGGGTCGGCCTGTGGACCCAGGAGACTTTGGAACGAGCATCCGGGAGTCGCAGAGACCTGGGTTCACATCCCGGTGCCGTCCCTTATAACTGCTCAGGGCTCCAGGGAGTTGTTCTCCCCCTGGGCCATGCTGCCCTTGGCTCTAACACAGAGCTGCTACACAGAAGGACATCACATAGTAATGGAATGAGCGCTGTCTCAGAGGAGGTGTCTAAGAATGCATTTAAAATGTCGTTGCTGTTCTCGTGTCTCTGTCCCCATGGATACAACCCAAGTCCAGGACAAGGAATCTTGTAGTGAGATAGAGGAGGAGGAGGAGGAGGAGGAGGAGCGAGAGGAGCAGGAGGACCTTACAGCTGCAGTAATGACTGGATTTTTCTTGCAGGGTCATGCCACTGGTGGGGTAAATAAAGCAATGACATGATCCACCTTATATTTTCTGAAGACTCACTTTGGCTGACCATCAGGGGCCACCATGGAAGTGGCAGTTAAACAAATTTAAAATAAGTCAGTCAAGCGATCTGGAAGCTCGGACAGAGGGCTGGTGTTGCTGCCGGGCAACCATGTTGGTGACAGGCTGGTTTTCAAAGGCAGAGTCGTTAGCAACCAGGCTCCTCCCTTAGGAGACTTGGCCTCTTTGCTGGCCCAGTTCAGTTATCAGTAACAGGAAGATAGCAGGACAGAGCTCCTGAAGCCTCTGTGAGAATTACATGAGCTGCTTTACATGAAAGCCATGCCTGTGTCTGCCATCCTTGGCTACCCAAGGCCAAGTCTGCAGGCCCTGTTGATCCTGTTCAGCTTCTCAGCGGCAGAAACAACGCTGAGTCTATGGCCAGATCACTCACACTCATCTGTCTCACCCTTCAAATAAGAAAAGCGACAGCTGTGGAGACATCCACCAGCTGGTGCCCCTGCACCAGGGCCTGAGCTTGCACACAGTGTACAGTAACAGGCTCTCAGAAGGAGAAAGGATTCTGGAGAGAGTTTAGTTTGTAGAGTGAAAACTGGAAATACTTGCAAAAATGTCTTAATAGTTGTGAGGACTGCCAGGTGGTATTGCCAAGGATTCTAATTTCCTGTGTGCTTGGCCGGATGTAGTAGCACACACCTGTAATGCCAGCACTTGGGAGGCTGAGGCAGGAGGATCGCTGCCAGTCTGGGCCACAAAGTGATTCCAAGCCAGCCTGAAGTGCATAGTGAAACCTTGTCTCAAAAAGCCAAAAAAGGATAGCTGGGACAACTGTACTGCTGATGTCTGGTGGTTTACTGAACGGAACAGTTAATGCTTAAATTTTTTTTTATTTTGACCAATTTTGCATGCTTATATCTGCTAATCTGAGCAACTGATTTGAAGACAACAATATGCAATGGAACAGCCATTGGTGAGTTCCTACCATCTTCTCTAGTGAAGCCTTGTATCGTCTCTAATTTTTCTAATTATTATTTTTTATTCTTTTTAATGGTTTGATCAATCTTGCATTCTTACATCTGGTAATCTGAGCAACTTCACTGAAGATAACAATATGTAATATAACAGCCACTGTTAATTCCTATTATTTTGTTTGAAACCCTGTATCATTTTTAATGGTTTTGCTTTGTTTTGTTTTTGTCTGTGATGTTGGTATTTTGCTATTGTCCTTTTTTTTTTTTTTTTACAATTCTCTTTAAAATTTAAAAAAGAACTTTTTTTGGTACTT